AATGCAAACTTTAAATTGGACCAATCAGTGTCCGCTATTCATGACAGTCCGCCATATTTTTGAGATCAGTGAGGATGACCACCCACCGAACCACTCACGGTAACCCACGCCCGCGCTCATTGATGAACTTTAGACTTGGCTAATGCTTTCATTTCCCCAGGTGTAAATAGCCGGGGGGAATTAGTACCCTCGCACGGCGCTTCGCGCCATCAGCTCGGGGATTAGATTATCTTTTTCATTTGAGCATACAGATAACATTTCTACACAATTAGTCTTTATGAAGGCTTATGTATCGATCAATTTGAAACTTCAACATGCCCCTCCCGGAATTTGATCTTTTAGAAATTTGACTGATCAAATTCTCCACCCCCTGTGCAAAAAATGTCTTCAAATGCCCCACTGTAACAAGAAATTAAGCGTTCAAATACCTCACTTTCATATGATGCCATGTCCGACGCCGTGTTTGTTAAGTACTTCATGTCCCTTGCACGATGAAGTACTGTCCTGTTCTTCATAGAAACCCACTGGCCAGAAATACTGACTCACCACCACATAATGATACAAATACAGAAGCACTGCGTATAATGACAAAAAACTAGTTTCATAATTAATATTCTGAAATAATGGCAAAAGCACTGAGTATAATGATAGAAGCACCACATATTATGCTGAAAGCACCGAGTACAATGCTAGGAGCACCGAGTGTAGAGATAAAAGCACCAAGCATAATGCCAAAAGCACCGCGTATAACGCTAGAAGCATCAAGTATAATGATCTAAGCACTGTGTGCGTTAAATGCACCATGTATCATGATAGATGCACCGAGTATAATGCTCAAAGCACTGTGTATAATGCTAAAAGCACAGAGTATAATGATAAAAGACTGTGTATAATGCTAAAAGCACCGAGTATAGCAATGGAATCACTGAGTATAACGATAAAAGCACCAAGTATAATGATAGAAGCACCGAGCATTACAATAAAAGCACCACGTATAATGCTACAAGCACTGCGAATATTGTTAAAAGCACCGAGTATAATAACATTGGAGTACTTAAGACAGCTATGGCTTTCCATATCTGACTAACTTTTGCATAAGGTTCATGTACCTTTTGAAAAACAGCTATCGTGTGTTCATATGCGTATATACTCCGTATCTGAGTCTTCAAGGTTTTGGATGGAACCTTCGCATATGCGGTCATTAGAGGATGAAGACTTTGGGCAAGATTCTGTAGGCTTTGATCATGATGTACCATGGACTGGAAGAGCTTTTCTGAATCGTTTGGGGCAATAACGTGGCAGATTAATTTGCTGGCCTTGGTTGCCTTTGCTCCATACAGGTCTTTCTCTTTTTGAGAAACAATGCCCCAGTCATTTTGAAGCTGACTTGTTAATTCATGTGGCTTTTCTCCTCCATGGGCTACAGCATACAAACTTTCCTTAGCTTTATTGTATGCTTCTACTGCCGATTTACTTTCATTCTTATCATCATCTTCACTGTCACTACCAAACATAGTCGAGAGCATCCTGGAGTCCATGTTGTGGCACACATAGTCACTGACGTCGAACTTATAAAACTCTCTTCCTTGCATAAAGTGTCATCAGAAAGGTATAGCCATAAAACATAGAATATATCAGGTGTGGACGGCACTAAATAAGTGACGGCAATTGCCCCCCCCCCCCCGCAGATGGTGGTGAGAGTCTTAATCCCCCCCACCCTTGTATTGTACAACCAAGTAATGTTGTTGTCATTCATTGACCTGTGATTATAAAATTTGCCAGGCTGCCGAAAAAGGTGGCAAATAGCATTTCTGGGAATTTGTCTTATGATACCAAAGAATGCCTGTAAAATGTAACACATGTTTATTATCCTAGCTTTTAAAAATTGATGAAAAAGGAACATTAATTTCATTGAAAACCAAATTTACCTTGGCCTTGAGTATTCTTTCTCAACTGGGACAGAATTGATTGTATTTTCTTCGGGCTGGAAAGGCCATATCCAGGTGTATTCTTGTTGCATGTGGTCGCTGTAAAATTCATGACACTGTCTGCAAATAGCTAAACAAAGGTAGCTTAATATTAATTTCAATAAAAACTCTTTATGTGTCTTTACGTTTAATTTGTTATACAATTCTTTTACTTAAGACAAGCTTTCCTTGAGGAGAACATATCGATCAGTGCCGTCATAGCTCCTCCCTTCCGATAAGTTGAAAAGATCTTGTCTCTTGGTTAAATTAATAAAAGTATCATTATTCAATACACTGACTATTGTCTTAAAGGGGGGGATATGTCCCTTCTGCACATGTGCCCGGCATTTGTTTATGTTTTGATACATTACACATGTTATAACATGAAGTATTGACATTTTACAACAATATTTTATCAAACATGGCGATTGAAATGAGAGAAACTTTATATAGTTCACTTGTTTGTGTGGTGGTGCCTGCTTTTTATGAGAAATATAGAAACTTTTGACTTGTACAAGTTTGAATAATTTTCCTTTTGAACCGCATAGCATGATAAACACGCCGAATCATGCATGAAGTATGACCAACCGACGAATATGAATTGCTCAATGCTCGATTGCTCTTTACTCAACAACAAGCTGACAATATTGAGTACACAACAGTAAGTTTAATGGTTTATATGTTGTTTGTTGATGACAAATTCTAGTCTGCATGTTTTTGCATGGATTAACCATATATGAAAGCTTATCTTTCGTAAATACTGCACAAAATATATACCGCATTTGAATTGATTAGTAGATATATTTTCATCTACAATTTATAAAATTGATATACGAGTTGGACAATATTTTAAACCAACTGCATGTCCTGCTTATATATAGCTAAATTCTTAAAGCATATATAATTATTTTATTTGCAAAGATTGAAATGGTGAACAAAACAAGTTTTGATTTTTTCCCCATTACTAGCAGCAGCCTTGTCTTTGCCATTTGTCATGCTATTGTAAATTATGCAATTAACCTGAAAAGTTATATTGCTTCCATGCATTAGGGCACTTTCTCAAACACCATAAAGGCAGATTGCTATTGGGACAAGTGGTTAATAGCATGAAGCATGAAGATCTCTGAAAGAGGCAAACCTATAATCTGACTGCATTAATTTTGAGCCTTTCTATGCATGACAGGATTTAATGGAAGATGTAAATGTTCAAGACCATCTGTGGAGAAAACACCAAATGATATAGCTAATGGTGAAATTCAAACGGGTTGCTGACTGTAATGAGTGCCGCTGAGAGGGGGGCATTTTGGCATGGGACCCCAGATGGATGGGATCCCAGATTAAAGTCTTTAAATTTTCTTGATACAAGATTGCTTAACCAATAATATAAATCGTAGCTATGTCAGTGCTGGATAATATGCAATAAAGTGCAATATATTGTAACACTGCTTCTCCTGTTTTATAATTATGACATAGGGACCTGTGGGAAAGTTTTGCCCTGTACCCTGCACAACCTCTTGGTGTCCCTGACTGTTATTACCACCAAGTTCAACAATTAGATAAAAATCTTCAAAGCTGGGGCTACTGTAGACATTTTGTACCCATACCAACACAAGAAGGAATATTAAGTGTTTTTCTAAATGAAGGTGATATTGCATATTACACGCCTGGCATTTTTGCATGCGAAAACGCTAGTTCGCCATTCATTATGACCTGCGGTATTCTTCAAAAAATGCTGCGTAAGCATAATTAATTTGACAAGATGGCGGCCATTCGAAATGGCAATTTTAGTCTTGACGAGGTCTTAAATCAAGATATTTTGAACGACAACTGTGTCGAACGACCGGTAGATTATTTTCAGAAAGTAATGGAGGCCCTTGGTAGCTGCACTCGGGAGAAAAGCTGCCGAAACGACGCGTTTTTCGTGGATGAATGTGGCGAGCAAGTTGAAACTTTACTGGAAGCTCATGATTCTCTGGATTAAATGTGCCACGGAAGATGACTAATTCCATAAATCCAGCGCCAATACTACAAAGGGAAGCTCGGCTGTGGCTGGCAGGAATTCGACGGCGGATAAGGAGCAAAACGAGTATCAGAAACCCATATTTATTTACTCAGTTTATCATGTTTTCAATAATCGTAGGAAATGTTCAGGGTTTGTATGGATTCGTTGAACCGTTTTGTTTTCACTGTGATGTCAAGAAGGCTATTGTTATTTATTTTACTTTAATGCGCTTTGTCAACAAGTTATTTGCTTTATTATCTGGGTTGTCCAAGGATGTTGTGCCTGGCTACTTTGGGCAAAGTTTTTCAACTACAGTGTATATATGGATTGGAGAGTGGAATGTCAATGGATTTCCTCGGCATGTTTGCTAGTAATGTCTGAA